TTTTATGTTGCACTTGTCTCTGCTGCTTTAATTTATTTATTTATATTTATATTCCGTTTCGCTGCATACACGCCAAACCTGTCTTCCTCACCCTTGGCATTTAAAATTACATTACAATACAAAAATATTTACTTTCACTGTCAATAATGTCATTATAACAAATCAAACACACGAAAACGACGGTCTAGATAAGCTTCCATTTTTCCATGGAATATGCGAGGAACAAATTTTTTTTTTTTCTTTTTTTTTTTTTTCAGAAGAAATAGATTAACAAATAGATAGAAAAGAAGCAAACTGATCATCATATATATAGATAGATATAGGCTTACACAAACACACACACACACACACACACACACACACACACACATATATATATATAAAATCCAGTTACTAGGTAGGGCAGCTTACCCCATCTGGGGAGTTAGACCCAGTCCATTTGCCACAAGGTTCCTCCGGATCAGAGTACCCAAGCTTAAGCTGGAATCATCAGATGGACTAATCATCTGCCTCGCACCTTCACTAGTAGTAATCGACGTTGCGAACAATATGAAGAAGCTGCAAAATAACCCATTCTTCACAGTACCCATAATATCTATCAGTACTCCCAACAAATGAAACCTCAACTGCTAGCTGATCAGATCAGTATATCGATGGATCCACTTCTATATATATATATATATATATAGATGTGTGTCTGCGACTATATATATATGCTTAGGATATATCTATATAGCGTTTAATTGTCATCATAGTCAGCATGCGTGGTCTTCTCTTTTGTTAAGGAGCCGGCACGGCATGTACAGTTTTCATGAGTGGGTTTCTGAATGGATTTCATCGACTAGCTACTTATTACTCCACCATGTGTGTGTGTGTGTGTGTGTGTGTATATATTTTGTTTTTTAATGTAAGGTGGGTAGCGCACATCACAGGTGGGCGACGTCAATTGTCTTCTTCGCTATCTATCTAGCTGTCCCTTGTCTTGCCTTAGCCTTATGGTTATTTTTCTCGTCTATAATTGTCCTTTTGGAATTTTTTTCTTGTTAGGTAGTACAGTTTCTTACCTTTAATTTGATACCAGATGGTTGAAAAATGTTACTAAATAAGTTCGTTTTTAGAATAATCCTAAACCAATCCACAAAACCAATCTAAAAGTGCGTGGGGGAGATATATAATTTATTACATTTAACGAACCTTGATTCTTGTTCACGTGTAAAGAAAAAACAGTTAGATATACTATCATACGTGCAAGAACTGAGATTCATTTAATATAATAGAATAATTGTATTTTATGTCAAATAATTCATTTCATTTTTAGCTTTCGATTTGGTAAACATTTTTATTATTATTATTATTATTGAAAACCACTTCCCAAACATACACACTCTCTCAGGTTCCTTCATTCGTACAGTTTTGGAGCAACTGAAATTTTATAATATTTTTTCACACTTTTCACTGTCTTCGCCTAATTAAATCAAACACATACCTTGTCTAATCTATATATATATATATATATACACCATCAAATTAAAATAATAATCAATATGTGGACTGTAATTACATGATTTGTCGGTGATATTAATATTTGTTTCTTTTGTCCTAACAAATAAATTTACACACTCAATTTGTGCTATGGTCTTGAACAGTCAAACTTTTTATTTGAAAAACATAAATTTAAAATAAGCATAAGTTCATGAGCCAAGTGACAACCAGAAATTAGCTGTATTTGATCAGTAACTAAAGCGACCAAGTCCTTAGCAAGTTACAATACAGATCAGTGCAATAGATTGCACCAGATTTCGGGTGACAATTTTTGATAAGCAATTGGAATTTTTTTTTTTTGATAAGTAGTTTTTAATGCTCTAATTTTTTTTTTTTTTTTTATTTTTATTTTCATGACAAGAATGTTAGTGCAGTGATTAGTGAAGAGGAGTGTGAAGACACAAAATTAGACTCCCAAAGATAAGGCGAACAACCCAACTGTTTAGGTTACGGCAGTTTATTACTCTAAAATTGGCCATGTAAATTTTTCCACACTAGGTTTTGTTATGTTTTTTGTTTTTTATTTTTATTTTTCATTGACTTTAAATGCTCTCACATACTCAGTCAAGGTATCCAATTAAATATGACAACTCCACTAATATATTTAAATTCTTGAATTGGTAAGTGACATTTTTTTTTAACAAAAATGCCAGCCCTAATTAATTATCCAGATTAGCTTGGACACGATAACTATACAGAATTTTTTTCTACATTTACTCTTTCACCTAGAGAATGTTCGGTGAGCATCTAACAATGATAATTAACGCCGCATTTCTAACATAGTTTTGTCATCGTCAAGTCAGTAAGGTACGTAAGGTAAGTAAAATTTACTTATTTACACTTTATTTTACTATATATACGAATATTGATTTATACAGTTATATTTTATATGATATATTGTACTACTAAAAAAATACCATTCAACTTTACCTTTTTATTTAAATTAAAATACCTTTTTATTTTTTTTCTTCTGTATCGAAATTCTGTTTATATATTGCTTATTCTTTTTCCGTCCCAAATAATGTAAATGCATAAGAATAAATAAACTGAATTTCGGGTTGCCTCCAAATAATGTAAAATACGTTCCAAAATCTGGTTTTACAGATTTTTTATATTCGTCAGACCTAATAATTCAGACTTTAAATTATTTGGATAACCAAAGTCTCCCCTGGGTCACCTCTAAATAAGATAATAGTTGTTTTCTCATTTTGAAAATAATTAAAAAAAATTAAAAATCACATCCTCTCACTCACAATTGCCAAATGACCAGAATCTTCTTTTCGAAATCGGTCTAATTTTGTTTCTTTGAAGAGAGAGCTCGTTAATCACAAAGCATCACTTTATGCAATGTTTTCTGGATTTGCTACATTTGGTCTGATTTTGCTTCTTTCAGACTTAATTTTGATGAGGGGAAGTTTTCATTTCGTTTGGATGCAATGCTGACTTTTAGTGAGGAAGGTTTCGTTTTTTTTTTTTTTGAGAAAGTTTAATTTTCAACTTTTTTTGGCCACTTTTTTTTGTTAAGTGGGACCCATAAAGTGAAAATTTAATTTATTAAATATTATAATATATATATGTTTTATACGGAAGCTGTATGTATAAATTGTGGGACTCATAAAGTAAAAATTAAATTCATTAAATATTATAATATATATATATATATATATATATATATATATATATATACACGAAAGTTGTATGTATAAATTGATAACTTGGTAAATAATACGAATTTAACTCAAGTGCCAAGTCAATTTTTTTATCCCTTACTGGACCAATCCAGCGAGAGAGTAAATGAAGATGATTTTTTTTTTCCTGGTTATGCCATATGCCTATTAATTTCTGATTTTTCCAAGTTCTACATCATCAGTTTAGAGGAGTAAAGTTTTGGAAGCATTACAACTTAAATCATTCCCAATAGCGTTACGCTACTGCAGTTTGGATAACGCCTATGATTCAGTGAATTTTATAGTTTAAAGTTGCATACCTCCATCTCATTTTGGTGCTTCCCTGCAATAATTGCAGCATTTTTTGTCCATGGCCTTGATAAAATCATATTTGCACTTGAGAGTTAACGTTTTGGGAGTGTGAATTAGATCAATCACTACAATAGACAAGATCAGTTGACTTTTAATTCTTAGTTCTTTGATGAATTGATGCATTTAGGTCTACATGCTATGTGTAATCAATCACTTTAAGATTTTTTTGGAAATGAAAGGTAATGCTTATTTTAGTTTAAGTTCTCTTGTGCACATGAACATTAAAAAACGATCAGCTCTTACACTTTTACAATTATTTTGTCTCAATTTTTATTATGGACACGGATTAGGTTCTCACTAGTGAGAATCTACAATATACTCTCGTTAATTGGAATCAATAATAAATATATACGTCCTATTTTAATTATCAAATCATAGATGATAATCAAATCATTATTTCTGATTTACTCACCATCTTTGATTTGGTAATTAAACATCACATGTCATTTTATTATTGGTCCACATCAGCGCGGTGAATATGTTATAGATTCTTACTAACGAGGACCTATGTATTATCCTTCTTTTTTTATTATTATATTTTTTTTGGGTGGCAATGAGATAACAGAAACTCCAGGAACAACTCTCAATTAGGATCTGCCAGCGTTGATCCTGAGGCCACCGGCGGAGCCTCCAGACCGAGCATCTTAGGGCTATGTCTTCGGCAAGGGTTAGCCCTTGAACTTACACCGGAATGATTGTAAGCTTTGACAGGCAGGAATAGTCTTCGTTCTGCCCTAGACTACATTGTCTTTGCTTTTGTTGGGCTTGGCCCAGTGATCCGATTTCATTGTTGGTATTTTGTTGGGCTCTGTCCACTATTCGTGGGCTGGCCCTTTTATTTTGGCATGACTTGTAAAGTTCTTCCTCATTTATACAATACATCTTTATAAAAATAAATCTATATAACTATATTTTATAAATGATTATTACAGTAAATTAGAAATTAAAAAAAAAAAAAGAAGACAAAACTAATAACACATGTTATCTCTTTTTTGGGTAAGCATAATGCATATTATCTTGAAAAGTTATAATATAGAAAGAACTACATATCTTTTTTATACTGTTAAAATAATATATATGTGTGTGTGTGTGTGTACATTTTGGTGATCAACTAATATCAAGTGACATTGATATGACCTAATAATATCATGCTACATCATGCTACATATGTTTTTTCATCCAAACAAAGAAACAAATCCTTAAAAGGCATGTATTTTTCATAAGAGGCTATTAAATTGGGGCGTAGATTTTTTTTTTCAAACACGGCAAATTCAATAGTACAATAGTGAGATTAGGGTCTGGTTTGTCTGGTTCGGGCACCAAATAGAAGTACACTAACGTTGTCCAAGTTCCACCCCGAAAATGAGACCACAAGGCCCACAACCCAAGCATCAAAACTATTTTTTTTTTTTGTACTTGTTTTAGGCCCTGTATAAAGCCCAGAAGGCCGTAAGGAGGCGGTCACAGAATCAGAAAGTGCCCTTCTATTTCAGTCCGATGCCGGCGATTACAACGACGGCTTTCAACGTCGGTTTAGCGGTTCTATAGAACAACTAGTTTCTCGTCGTCGGTGAGTTTAGGGTTCATATCTAATACATATTTGGTATACCTCCTAGTTTTTTCGGTCTATAATACATATTTGGTATACCTCCTTAGTTTTTCTGTCTACAAAATATTTGATCAAATGTCTCACTAATTAAGCTTTGTGGTTGTGTATAGACTTGCGATCATCAGATTTTTGGTCGGGCCTTGTAAGATCTCTGAGATATGGCGGGTAAGACCATTTCTTGACTGCACTTTGATAAACCTTTGTCCACTGGAGTTTTTATGCCGATTATAGTGATATCTACAAGTCTTATCGAGTGAAATAGTGATAATAGTGCTGTTTTTTGAATAATTTTTTTGAAACTGGCGTAATAGACTAAAGAACTTTAATATTCATTGATAATTCCATTGAGTACATTTACATTGTGCCTGATGAGTTTTCATTTTTAATATCATCTTATATACAGTGTACTCGGGTAAGAAATTGGGATCTTAAGGGTCTACAACTCCTTAGATGTCTGTTCAAGTGGAAGGCAGGGGCATCAAATGGAATAAATAACTCTTCATACTATTCCATTATTTGCTTCCCCCTTCAAGAGCTAAGCTACTAGACCAAGGGACTAATAAAAAATTAAAAAAAAAAATCATGCTAACAAGTAACAAGAACAATGTGCAATGTTCTAGGCTAACAAGTAACGAACAAACACAATTATGTGAAAAAAGAAAAAAAAAAGAAGAACGTGATTCGATGAATCGTGAACAAATAAAAAGAGAGACTAGGTCAATAAAATTTGTGGGGGCATACTTATATACTGTGGTATTTTTAAAATTTTAGTGGAAATTATGGGTACAAAGTGAAAAAATAAAAAATAGAATTAGTGGGGGCATCCACCCCCACTGGGCCCTTCCAAGCTACGTGCCTGGCTGTATGTGTCTACTGAATGTTTTCTACTGCAGGTCTTAGAGTTGTAATTGTGGGTTATTTCTTTTATCAGTTTTATGTTAAACCTGTTTCTTTGCAGAATTGTTCAACCATGAGAATTTGATAAACTTGAAAATGTAACTTTTTCGAAATTTTAATAAACAACAAATATGAATGTTTACCCAAAAACTTGTGAAAGCCTACTATAGGACTTCTTTATTTTGATGAGTGAATATCTGGCATAAAAACGTATATTTAAAACTAGTATCAAGGATGCAATGGAAGAAACCCTGTTATTAATGGGACAGTGTAGGCATTACAGAGTGCTTGACTGGTTCTTGAGTTGCATCTGAATGCTGCTGGGATGGAAAAGGTTTACTATTTAGTAGGTGCACCTTGCTTGAAGGTGTCAAAAACACCATATCTATGCATGCCTTCAAAGTTGATTTACATAGATTGGGAGAGAGATGGAGATAAGAATCCTTGGATCCCTGGGAAAGGAAAAAGAGTATAATTGAATTCACCAAGAGAATAACCCTCAGGGATCTATGTGGCCTTTTTTTATTTTTTGATAGGGGAGATGCATTGAAGATTATTCAGTGTCTTCATTGATTGGGAGAGTGAAACTTGGGGAATGTATGAAGTTCTTAGCAGTTGGGATTTCTGACCTTTTCTTTTTTCTTATCCGAGACTATTTATAAATGGCCTAGCTAAGCATGTGCAATTGTGCACATATGTAGTGTCCCCTGTCATAATTCCTCTTTTTCTGAGAAATATTTGTAAATTTCTAGCTGTTTGGAAATGAGTGTCTAAGGTTCTTGATTTGGTTTTTTTTTTTTTTTTTTCCTCGGAAAAATATTTTTTTCTTATTTGATAATTGAAAATTGATTGAACTGCATATTTTCTTATTATCTGTTTTACTTTATTGAAAACATTCCCTTCTCAGTACTGTGTTTAAAAGTGTTTGGTTCGTCATTTTACTTCATATATATAATCATATCAATCTGTGCGGTTTACAGTATTCACTAAAATATCCAATGTTGTCCGTCGCTCAAATATTCGGTGGCATGCAAGGTCGTTTGCTGCCTCTGTACCTTCTGCTATGCCACAAGTCCAAAAAGTTCAGAAGAAGCTGTCAAGGGATGAACGGAGAGCTATGGTGGTGTCGTTTGTTAACAAGTATGTCTTTGATTGCTTTATCCTTACTGAAGTTGCTATATTACGTCTGATTTTCACGTGTAATTTGTGTTGTAACTTGACTTGCTGAGAGGCAAGTGCTTACTAACTTTTTAAACGATTTATATGACTTGTAGCTTGTCTTGTAACTTTCAAAATTTTGAGGTTTAAATTTCTTATGTATAAAAACAAGGGTATCCCCTGCTGCTATATACAGAATGTGTTGGAAAAAAACCCCTGGTGGTTTAGAAAACCCCCCTACATTTTCAAACTGAGCAAATGAGGACATTTTCTCAATTTAAAAACTAAAATACCTAAAATGCCCTTAAAGAAAAATAATAATAATAAAAAACACTTGTATGCTCAAATTTTATTAAGGGTATTTTGTGGTTTTTATGTATAAAAAAAATGGTCAAGATTGACGATTAGGGGGCAATTTGCTATAAAATTTCAAATTATAGGGATTTATATGTACATACAAAATAGTAGGGGTGTTTCTTTCACATTTTTTATATAGCAGGGTTTTTTCTTTTTGCACTTTACCCTAAAAACAATAAAGGAAAACAATTATGATAAAAATAATATCAAGTATGTCTTTGATTGATTTCTAGCTTGTCAATCAAAATTTTGAGGTTTAAATTTCTTATGTATAAAAGCAATTAAAGGAAAATTATTATGATAAAAATAATATTGCAGTCTTATTTATCCAATGCACCATCTCTAAGTTGGAAACAGAATACACGGAGAGAGGGAAGGGGGGGTGGGGGAGGGAGGGATCTCATTCTCCTAATCTTTGTACGTTCGTATTATTTTTAAGGCTATATGATAGATCTTGAAAGCATGTCAACATATTTTTTTTAAAATAAATATCTGTTTAGTGAAATTGCTTATATGAGCTTTCAATTTGGCTAGGAAATATTTGAATTATGTATATTATTGTTTTGGAACTTTGATTAGCTGAATTTACATTGATTTATGGAAATCCAATCTTTATCTATGTGGGTACGCGATAGATTTTGATGGTGGATGGCTGAGCGCCAGTTATATGCGAAATACAACCATGTGGGATTCATAGGAGCAATACCTCCTGTAGAACGAATGCCTTCCAGGATAAGATGACACTTGAAAATGAATGATTGTTTTGATGGAAAGAATGGTTCTTACTTAAAAAAATGTTTTTTAGTAAGTAAAGTGGTGTTGCAATTCTATTATATTATGGTACTACTTTATTCAATTTATGTTATGAAAATCTATTTTATTATAAAAACTTGTATGAATGGTTGAACAAGGACTGCGTTGGACAAAGTTGAGAATTTAAAGACATCATAGGCTTGAGATCTTATTGTATAGGGAATTAGGAATTTATTTATAGCTAAGTACTAATGTAGTTGCAAGTTTAAAATTTAAATGAACTATGAATTTTTGTTGAGATTTGATATGCAAGGAAATTTAGTGTGTAAACTTTAAAAAGCTTGTTGACAGGATTCTTTAGAAAGAAATTATTTATTTCTGAAGAATATCATTGTGAATGAATGTTTTGGAGGATTCTTAGTGTCATACTCTTCGATGTCCAGTTAACATTTGTATGATTTGGGTAATGGGAGTTCGAGGCGTTACAAAACTTACCTAAGATAAATGGCATTTGGTATTTGCAATATATATATATATATATATATATATATATATATATTGGTCTTTAAAATACTTTTATTTTTTATACCAAAACTGTTTATCTTTAACTAGTGCCACCTACTTGGGTACCTTAAAGAAACTCCACAGGAGATCTCTTGAAATGAAGTAGATTCATGTGAATCCAAGGCCAGATTCATATCTGGATTGAATCTTATCGGCATGTGTAATGCCCGACCCATGTAATTTACACAAGATCCAAATAGAGTAAAATATTATTGATCTAGCTTGAATCTTGGTAAAACTCAATCCATAGAATTACCCAGATCTATATCCACGATGGATCTTTCAATGAAGATCCATGTCATAACCTTTCTGAATTTGGATTCAGAATTAAAATCCAAACCTGTAGAATGGACTTTGGAACAGATTAGATCTCAGGGTAAAACCGTTCCATTTTAAGTGCAAGCATTTAGCCTTCTAAAAGGTATCACTATCACATGCTTGCAAGGATCTCTTCTCCTTAGTTAAGTCTTGCTAAGAAAAAGGACAGAACTTCTTCCCAGATAAGTCTTTCCGTGACTATGAGGATCTCTTCTCCTCATTCAAGCTTCAACTGAAGACCTTAGCAAAAAGTTCTCCCTAGGTAAACTTTGTTGAGACAATGCTCTTAACACTTCAGCAAGAAGTTCTTCTTAGGTAAACTTTGTTGAGACAATGCTCTAACACTTCAGCAAGAAGTTCTCCTTTGGTAAACTTTATTGAGAACATAAAGCTACCTCGTGCACTGATGATTTGGTCTCGAATTAGGGCTTAGTATATGTTGTTGTACAAACCATCCACAGTGTGTTTGCGCAGGTCATGAAGGGTTATTCAGTGGGATTTGAGGATACCCATTACATTTCAGGTTATACTTCCACCAACATTTCTGAGCCACATTTAGTGGCGAGGTGAGTCTACTAAGGAGGTATTCTCTTGTTATGGTGGAGCCTGGGAATCACCATCTTCCTAACCAGTTGATCACTGTCTCACAAAGCGTTGGTCCCATGTGTAGATCGTGGATGTACCCCCTGGCGCAAATACTGGATCACTGTGCTACCCATGAATCCATTCTCAAAGTTCACTCACAACTTGTGCAATAATGAACAAAATTAAATCAACTCAGGAGGTGGTGGAATTCCTCTGGGACTGGCCTGGTAAAGCACCAATCCTCTTTTCCCGCAGTCGTTCTAAATACCCTTCATAATAATCAAACTAATCTGTTGTTACCCCTACTACGCCAATTGTTAGTTCACCCATAGCTTTTCCTGTTTGGCCCACTCCAGGACACTGTTAGCCAATGACTTCCATGCAGTGTGACAGTAGACCAGTTCTCCATTTAAGGCTCCGGACTCAGTCAGTCAGTGATTAGTTTATTTCTTTTATTTATAAAGTGAAGAGGCATTCAAGTCGGATTCAATATGTTTAAGTTGTGTTCTTTCTATTTAGTGGGGGCCTCTCCTGGGAACATCCACACTTGTAAAAAGGATATTTTTGGAATTCTAATAATAGTTTTATGACAAGTTTTTATGGTTAGAATATATGATTTCTGATCAGTTTTGAGTCATTTTCTTTGAAAAGTTATGCCATATGAGGCTCTCTTATTCTTTTGCTATTTTTTCCAATTAACCTAGCCCTCATTACTCACATATGAGCTTTTTGTATCAGTATTAGTTGTTCTTGTTTAATGGTTGTGATTAAATGATTGCAACTGTTAATCTTGTGCATCATAAGCCTTTTTTCTTTCTTTTTTTTTTTTTTCAATTTTTTTTTTTTTTTTTGGTTATCAGATACCACAAATTTCTTAAGGATGTGATTGATCTTCGCGATCGTTATTTTATTTCATTTTAGACTATGGATTGGATTGAGAACAAAAGCTGAAACTGTTCAGCTTTAATGATTTTTTTTTTTTTTTTTTGGTATAAGTGAGCTTTTGAAGGTTTTTTTGCACCATCTAGGTTTTTCTGTATCAGAATGTTTGAATTTAGAATATAATTTGCTATTTCTTTGCAGGTACAGAGAGGTAAATGCAGGAAAATTCCCATCTGTCTCTCTAGCTCGGAAAAATTTGGGTGGTAGTTACTATGTAATTAGGAAGATTGTTCAAGAGCTAGAATACCAATCTTTGGTATCTCCTATAAAAACAGGGAATGAGGATATTGTAGGAAAAGAAGTAGCCAAAGAGAATAAATCATCAATGGATGAAGGAATTCGTAAAGATGCTCAGGAATTTGCTGTCAATGATGTGGATGTTTGTGATTACAGTTTAAAGCATTCTGAACCAAAGAAAGGGTCACAAACTTCTGTCATGGTAGAGGAAACATTGTCCGAAGAGGTTCTGGATACGAGGACTGTAAGTATCTTATCTTTCACATTTTGTGACAGTATTTTATATCATTTTATAATTCATGTGGATGAGGAATTACTCGAACCCAAGTTAGATTTGGGGGACATAATTCACAGATCTGAAGCACATTTATCAGGATTCCGGCACATTTCAGAAGTTGGGAGCTTGATGATGAAATCAAGCTAAACTCATTTCTTATATTTTATTCTTGATATTGTGGTTGTGGCATCAATGTTGGATGTGGTTGTATTGAATAGCTGTTTTATTTTATTTTTTATTTTTTATTTTTTATATTATTTTTTCTTTTTTTATTTTTTTTGCTGGTATTCCAAAAATTTAATTAAAAAAATGCCTTCGGTGCTGTTAAAACACTAGTTGTCCCAAAAGTGTCAACTATTAAGGAATAGACCTAATAATATGATCTGGTTCTCTCACCTTCCCTCAAATGCAAAGTTGCAAACCCCTCTTGCACGTGGAGAGGCAGACAGAGACATACACAGGCAGAATGGATTCTCTCACATAATAGAGTACAAACAAATAGACAAAGTGGGGAAGAAATTTTGATGGACAGACACTTGAACTCAAAACCAATGTTTTTATTCCATATTAGATAACCACACGAAGAGATAGGCAAATTGAAGGAGAGATTGATAAACAGAAAAGAGTGTGAATAAACAAACAAACAAACAAAATAGGATAATCAGAACCAAAGCTCTCACAGCTTCCTGAACCTACGACCTCACTTGAGTTAAAGTCTAACATGCTCTACATTTATCAAAAAAAATTAAAATAAAAAAGGTCTAGCATTCTATATATGCTATCAGAGTTTTTATACCATATTATCATTTATTTGCCTCGTCTTCTTACATGAAATCAAATTTAACTTTATTCTTAGGAATGGTTCTTCATGTTGTGCCATATATTGCGTAGGATGGATTGGTTACTTCTTCTCATCGTCCTCGCTCCTCACGACCACCCTTTTTAATAAATTTTTGGGTGGAACAACAGTTTATGTTGTCTACCATGTAGATTGCGGTTGCATATTTTTTTTAAGAAAAATTTACTCAGTATATATTTTCTCCAGGGTGATTATTCTAATTTTGTTGCAACAAAAAGTCAACTGCTAAAAGAAGAAGCTAAGGAAGAATATCATCCATGTCCTGAAAAAGCTGAGGAAGATGTAAACGAGAAAACATCCAATGATATGCTGGAGCTTGAGGGTCCAAATCTGAATACTAAGCAGCATCAACAGTCTCCTGAATTGGATATGTTTGTGGGGTAATTTTTTCTCACGACACATTTTTATTTCTTATGTTTACCTTACTAAAGGCGTTTTCAAAGGCTTGACGACTCCTTTTTTTTAATTAAAAAAAAAAAAAAAAAAAATTCCTAGAAGTTGTCTGCAATAATTGTTATTCATTTTCTTTTAATGGCAAATGATCATGTAGCTGAACCATCGTCTCTCATCTTAAATTCTTTGCTGCTGTCGTGCTGAGCAAAATTAGTAAATTGAATGAATGATGGTTGTCAAAGATGATACTCCTCTAGGCTTATATATGTATGCATGTGTATTATATGAATATGTAAATCAAACTTGAGCTTAGTGGAAGAATTTGATATGGTAAAAGAGAAGAATTTTTTTTATGGAAGAGACCTTGTTTATTAAGCAATTTCAGCATGGTGGTTTTGCCATATCTTGGAAAGTCATGGATGCTAGGTGCTTGGGAATGAGACGTTGAACTAAATGAACTGAAACACAGAATTTCGATTCATAGAATGTGAATTGACTCTGGGCTACTTAAATTTTCTGAATTAGTTTTTCCGTCTTTTGTTTTTCCTGGGGTATCCTTCTATGACTATGACATGTTGTTTACCCTTGCTTTTTAAGAATTGGACCTGAAGGCATTGTGCAAATTATTTCTTATCCAGGGAAAAGCAGACTGGTGACCAACAGCTCCCAAAGGATTCATCAGTGTGGGGAAATTTAAAGTCTTTTGCAAATGGCATTTTCAACATGTGGAGAAAGCTGTAAATTGTTGTTGAGGTAGTTTTTAGAACTATGGCATAGTTGAATTTTGGCATGACACTGGAATTGCGCATTTACTATTTTTGTAAATCGCCTTTATAGTTAACTTAATCCTGTTGGTCTTAGTTTTACATGAAATATCCCTCATTGTGTATTTTTTTCTTCTTCTTATGTTTAACGACTGCATCTTATTTGAAGCATGTAGTAAGGACCGTCAACCCTATTACTTGATGACATAACAAGGTCAGTTATTTGTGGCCTGGACCATTATGAAGGATTGAGATGAGAATCTGGGTAAATTATTTATATCAAAGTTTCACTTGGATTATGTGCGTAAATTCACTGCACTCAGATCATTGCTTCTAAATTTGAAACAGAATGTGGCATGGTAAATTCTTTATTCATCTTGCTTGTAGTGCAATCAATCAAATAAATAGCAAGAAATTCAACTTTTATAAAGCTCAGTTGTACGTATGTATTTATCATTTCTCATGGTGAAGTGTGTGTATTTATTCTCTTTGTGGGGTGTACTTGAAAGTTAAAGTGACAGGAGTGGCTCAATATAATTTTAGGCAAAAAAAAATTAATGTGGCCTTTTATCAATAGAATCTACCATGTGTTCATATTTGTATTATGCTCATTAGTTGTTTTGGGATTTAGCACTAAGATTTTTTCAATCATTAGTTAATTGGTTAGTGCTATTTTTATTTTTTATTTTATTTTATTTTATTTTTTCATTTGTTTGTTTTTAACTTAATTGTTCATTTGTTGAATTTTCATTTAAATTTTTTTGGTATGTTTTAATTATTAGTTGTAACAAATTTATTTGTAGTTCATTTTTTTAGATTGGATTAGTTTATCTATTCTTCTCATGTTTAAGTTTTTCATATCCTGATTCATATTTTCTAGTAGACATATTCAATAACATAAATAAAAATGATGGCAACTCACAAACAAAATATATAATTTATGATAACAAAAATTAATAAAATTATAAAATAATTTAAGTTATAAAACCATAGAGAAAAAATTGGTCTAATGCTCTAACAAATTCTTCTATAGAATAAACTGTATTCAAAATCTTTCAACAAATTGTAAAAAAATAAAAATAAATACTACAATGAGAGAGGAGGGAAACTATGTGAGGAATAAGAAAAAGAGGGAAGATATAAGTTAATTTAGAGTAAGTTTCACCAATTCTAACCATATTTAATATGATGAGAAATATATATATGTACGGTTGATGAATTGAGGATGATAGTGAGATAGAAATATTTTTGGCCCACTGATTTAGGTCTAGATAAGTTATAATATATAAAGAAAATAAATAAATAAATAAAACTGGGGTCTTCCAAAATAAAGAAGGTGAGAAATGATAAAAACTTTTTAGACTCACTATCAAGTCTCTTTATTCTACAATAGTATTTTTTTTTTTGCAAAATTATAATATATAAAGAAATGCAAATCTTTGGAGCTTTCTTATCGTAGGCGCTAGCCCTAGCAAACGGTGACCACATAATGGGAGTATCGGTGTTTTGGATTTGAAGTTTGACGAAATTTAATTCAAAATTTTAATTAAACTTCTTTTAATTCTCATTCAAATTGTTCATTCTGTACTTTCAAATACAACATTATAAAAAAGATGTCACAAATGACATTCCCTGTTGAGGTTGGTTAAAAATGCACCACCACCCTAAGTCACACAATTCGTTCAAAGAGCTCTAAGTCACACAATTCATTCAAAGAGACCCTGCTCTCAAGCTCTGCATGCGAAGCTAATTCAATTTTTGCAATTGGCGAATTTGTTTTCCTAACTCATGATTTCCATACGAATTTACGTTAAATAGCTAAATTTGTTAGAGTCCCATGATATGAAACATCTATATTATCATATATGTATTTATTACTTATACTATTACTCAATATACACATTAATTACTTAAATTTCAGTGTGGCCAAGTAGTATGGCATTGCTATACTATCATATATATATATATATATATACATATTTGAAAATATATTATTAAAAAACTTCCCAATTAGAGAATATTACAAATAAATTACGCATCTATTAGTGATAAAAATTAGCTTATTTATTACATATATCATTAATGGAATAAATAATCATGAATATATTTGCATATGATTTTAAATAAATAAAAAAATATAAAATATATAGGTCATGACTTGATATAATTTTATTTAAACCTAATATAGACGTTCTTGCTCTAAAAAATTTTAGGCTTTGACGGTTTCGCATTCTCGCTTCCGCTCCTGCACTCACTTTCGCCCGCTCTGTGTGACTTAGCCACCACTTCCAAATTTGTCTATTTTACAATTTTTAACCGAGGGAGTGCATGTCTTTTTACCCTCAAATTTTTTGTTCGATTTAAATGAAATGAATCTATCAAATTTGGGTAACTGGACTCGACCATTAAATTACTAGTTCATAAGAATGTAGATCCATGCGTTAGATTTTTATTCGAATTCAATTTGAATCTAGTTTGTTTGGTTTTTTTTTTTTTTTTTTTTTTCAAGATTTGAATCTAGTTTGATTACTTGGAAATGATTGGAAGTATTTAATCCCATAATCACCTATTAACAATTTGTTAAATAACAAACCTGAAGTGAATTCGTGTGCATTTGATATAAAAATTAATTAATATTTTTTTTGGCAATGTGGTTTATCATGTATTAGAACGCTTAATTGTGACAGAGTTTGGCCACGTCAGACCCTATAAAAGCGAAGTCTAAGAAGAGATAAAGGGCCTGTTTGCCTGGACTCTGTAGCCTCAAAACGGGCTCCCAAGCTCAGGAAGCCCTTTACCAATAATAGTGAGTGTTTGGTGAGATTTCTAAAAGGGGCTTTCTAAAAAACTCTGGTGGTTTAAAAGTGTGTTTCGATGAGGCGAAAGAGAACACTGACAATTGCTGAGAGCGACTTGGAATAATTTCACCGGTGAGGGTGTTTCGATGGGTCTGTCTAGTTCATTGTAATTGATTGGATAGGTATCAAGATGAAATTTACAGATTGTGGATTCTTGTAGAGATTGAATCGGGAATTCAAAATTGGTAGTAAAAGCTGTCAGAGTTGTTGAGGAAGGAAAAAGACCACAAATTTTCCGTCGAGATAACTTCAGAGACGATCACCGGAACGGTGTATTCTAGCACGCCAGTGAGTAATATGACTTTAACAGTGGACTACTTTGAACTTAATAACTTCCGGTTGATGAAAAATAAATACTCATCTATATATATATATATATATATATATATGCATCCATGGTTCTTCTTGCCGTTGTTGGTTTAGAGAGAAAAATAATTAATTTGGAGGAGATGCGGGGTTCATGGGTTTAAAGGATGAGGGAAGAGTTTCATTTCGTGTTTACTGTATTCTTCAACCTTTGTCAAACAGTGACGATGGAGATGGGTTTGAATGGGGCATAAAGGAGATGGGTTGAATGGAAATGGTACAAAGGAGATGGGTAAAATTGCCAGATAAAAATTACTTAATACCTAAATGACTTTTAACTTCTTTTTGTTGTAAATTTCTTTTAGCAGAATCGCAGAAGAAATTATCAAGGACTTTTGGTGTTGGGAAGCTCCCCAAAACACAGCCAAACTCCCTATCTCACACGAGGGAAAAAAAGAAAAAGAAAAAGAAAAAAGCCTACTCGATGATCATGGATAGAAAAAGAAGATACCCAGAAGATAGTCGATATATATACAAATTTATATATATAATGAAAATTCTCACAACTTAGAAAAAAATAAAAATGAGAAAAATCTCACAATAACAACGGAATCATACTCTATGATGTTGAAAGTGTTTCTCTCTCCAATGCTATTATCGGTTTTTCAAAGCAAGAATTAGGGCAAACAACAACAACTCCCTTCTTTGAGTTTGGCGCAAAACCAAATTAGTGATTGGGCTCCTATCAGTTTGTCAGAGCATGAAACTGACATGGTGATGGTAGAATCAAAAAAATTAAGAATTTTTACAATTTGATAATGTTTTGTATACAAAGACATAAGCCGGTCTTTGAACACAATTCCACACCAAGCGTATGTATACAAAAACATAAGCCGTTCTTGAACACATCTCAAACATTTTTTTTTTTTTCTTCCTCGTTCACGTCTCCAAATTTCATACCCCCGACTAATAATTTCAAGTTTTGATTTTCAAATAATTTACAGATGATTATAAAAAGCAATGAAAGTCCTAAAAATAGTACGAAAAAGTATAAAGTTTTCTTTCACTTCATTGCCAATCCATCATGCAGTCTAGTCATTTGAATTTGAAAGCCATTCAACAATCGAGCTGAGGGAAAGAAAGACATTCGATCCTCCTTGAGTTGAGTCCACCTGACAAATTCACTCAAAAGATAAATACTGATGGGAACATAAAATCAATGCCTCATCTTTTATTCAAGTAAATATTATCATATAATCATGAAAAATGATAAAAATCCTAATTTTAACATTATGTAACCAAGGTAGCTATTGGCTTATTACAAGTCCGAATCTTTTACTCTACGCTTTTTGGCTAAAAATAATTGTTTTAAACTTAATTTAATATGTTACAATAGAGAGTTCAACATCATTAATTTGGAACTTTAAGTAGTATATACTAAAAATAAAAAATAAAAATAAAAATAAAAGTAAAAGGAGAGATTTATAGATGAAAAACCTGTATGTAGTCAGAAAGTAGTGAAGAAAGAGAGCAATTTGAAGGCGAGCCAACTCTGCCCCTGGACAAAAACGGGCTCCTCCTCCAAACGGAGCATAGAATGGACTGCTTCTCCAATTTCTCTTTTCCTTCATTCAAAAGTTTAACATTAAAATACAAATACAAAAAATAAAAAAGTCGTAATATGAAAAAATTAATATGAAACATGAATATTATTTTTACATGAATTAAGTTAAGATTAGTGATGGTCAATCCGATTCGAAATAGGCCAACCACCCAGGAAAATATGGAGTCCATAGTCCTTTTACAAGTGTTCGTTTTAGTCAAAGTCAGACTGCTGATAATTTCTTAAGTTAATTAAGATGTTTAAACTTTGCTAACCTGATCTACAGGGTCCATCCATCTCCATGGATTGAAGGTGAGAGCTTCCTTGTACAAATTTTCATCTAAATGAACTGCCGAAAGAAATGGAACAACAAAGCATCCTTTGGGAATAACATAATCTGCCAAACAACATAAATAAAAAAATAAAAATCTTATCCTGACAGTAAATAAAGCTTAATTCGCATTTAGAAGTGTCTCTCACACAATTCCTAAAAATATATATATATTTAAAAAATAAAATAAGACCACATACTATAAGTATATTACTTATAAAATGCAAAATCTACAAACCAATGAGATGGATCTCTGTTAGTCAGGTACACATCTTAAAATAGTATATACTAAAAGTCAACAAAGAAATTATAAAAGTGTTGTACGTGCCTGCCGGTACAAAAGTCAATAAGAAAGAGGGGTTTAGAGTTTAAATTTTATTATTGGCCCCAAAATATCTTTATTAAGATTATGTACGACATTTGAATGATACATGTGAAAGAATTGAATTTTATTAGAGTCTTTTACATTTGTGTAGGGATTTGTAAAGTGTTATAGAGAGTAATGAGTGTTCTAGCCTGATTAATGTTTGTAAAGTGAACTTGAAAAGAATATAATGTTTTGTGGAGGTGGTAAATATAAAGATATTTAGGTGTAGATTCCAGATGTCAGGTCTTAGCCATTAATTGTGATACATCATAATCGACGAGGGAAAAAAAATGCTTATATAAGGAGTGGGAGTTGTCATCAATAAGTAACAAAGAGTAAAAATTAGAGTTTAAATCAACAACTGAGTGGGTAGAGCAAAATAGAAAGAAAAAAAAAAAAGTTATTGTGGTTGAGGTTTTATTTTTAATTTTCTCTATTTTTCGCCAGCTTTATGACTATCAAATTGAAAGGAGTGAGTGTATTTTTATATAAACTGGTTACATATACAAATTTTTTAGTCTTATGGAGGAAAATTTATAATCCAATTTAGTAAGTAATTACGTTTTACAATTAAAATGAAATAAAAAACACCACAGGAAAATGAAAAGTCAATCTAAGTCGAATGTAATGTATAAATAATATTTGATTTATTTTTAAATTGTTATTTTCCGTGATTCGTGAAAAAAAGTGAAGTAGAATAAAAATTAAAATTAATTTGAAATCAATTTCAGACTATTAATAGCTATGAGATTTAGGTTTGGTCAGTGTTTGTGATCATGTAATTTCATAGCATCAAAAAAGTTTACAAGCTTTGGTAAAAGCACAAATAGAGTCTCCCCAAAAGTTTACAAGCTTTGGTAAAAGCACAAATAGAGTCTCCCCGTCAGTCTGATATAGACTAAAAAATTCGTGCCTTTGATATTCTAAAATTTATTTATGTTTATTCTTTAGGTTAAGTTACTTTGTTCATGAAACCTAAAATTATGTAATATTTTTTTACATTTTAAAGTGAAAAGTAAAGTGTTCAAGTGTTTATTCTAAGAATTATTTGCTAAACCCTAAACAAATAAATAAAAAATAAAGTATTACCTTGGTATTCAATGTCTTCTTTAGCCTCTCTCATCAACCAAATTGCAATGCCTCCAAGTCGAAGTGTTTCATCAATGACCTGTGTAAAAAGTAATTTCAAATTTTTAATTTAAATTTTACAAATCATATATTGTATCAATATTCTAGCGATTGCTGACATACACATGTAACTTTCATGGGACTACTAGTACTAGATCGTGCACCTTCTCCCTCCACTTTTTGATTACCTTAAATTCCTTGTCCGTTTACTAATTGTTTTTTTTGAAAGGTTATTTCAATTTATAGAAATAAAGAAGTATACAGCCCAAAAGGGAAATAGCCCAACTTAGGCCCAAACAAAATATACACTGCAGCCCAATGAACTGCCTAAGAACTCCAACTGTAACAGAGGGGTGTCCATTTACTAAAATTGTTACAGTGGATAATCTATTAAAAAAACATTAACTTTTTTAAGGGTGATTAAACAATAAGAATATCCTAATAATAAAAATGAAACATAATTTATATAATTGGTAAAGTGTCTTAATTGTCCATATCAAGGGCCTAATTAGGTTATGATAGAATCTTCACTTCAACTGAGTTGGGGATTATATGTAGTAGTACTGCATTCCCATTATGGTTTATGAGAAGAGGAGGGCTATTTCCTCATTATATAAGAAATAAAAGTAAAACAAAAAATTTATCTACTTTAATTTATGTTTCAAAACCAAATTTTCTTTTACTATTAACAACAATATTGATAAAAAAAAGAATAATTTGTGAGCCGAATTCGTCATTCGAATCCCACTTGCTGAATTCGGTTCATATATACATAAATCACTACTCTTGATAAAATGTGTAAAACTGTCACAAAAGAAAATTTATATATGAAAAATAAAATTATAACTAGTATTGATTTACAATATTGTAAATGTTCATGGAAGGCAATTAATGAAAATATTGTATATATGTTCACTATATATGTTAAAACCTGAAATTGACCAAAGTATCATAAATTCAAAACCTAAAAGGGTTAAGATTCTGAACAAATGTAAAGTGGAGAGAAAACATAAGCAATATTGAAAACTTACACATTGAGTGAAAGACATTGATTTGTAATCTTGCCACGTAAGCATATCTTCAACATCAAATCTGCTCCTTAGGCTTTGTTGCTCGTCCTACACACATGTATATATATATATATAAGGTACTGATGAAATATTAATTTGTGAGTGAAATCATATAAGTATATATATGTTAAAGCATTATGATTTTATATATGCATTTACAGATATAAACTAGTTAGGATGGTATGGACATACCAATAGTTGGTTCATGGCCTTGGGACAGTGAGTGAGGAAATAAACTGCGAAGAGCATGGTTTTAGCTGTCGTTTCATTTCCGGCGAAGAGAAGATTGATAATGAAGTCCGCGATAGAGTCATCCGGTAGGCTTTCTTCGTCGAGCAGTCTTCCCAGCAAACCATTACCAGTAGTTACTGCACTCGCTCCTTCTTCTTCTCTCTTTTGTTGTCTGCGCTTTTCTATTGTCTTGTTGATTTTGCTTATTATGGTTTTCCTTGCCTGTTAAATTTAATTAAGCAATAATATATCATGATTAAATCTATATGCTTTAGTGATTAGGCCAACTATGTGACATAAATTATAAGATGATATATCTTAAGGAAAGATTCAGCATCTTGAATTACTGTAATCTAGATGAGTACTTATAAAATGATATAAATAAATACTATATAATTGACACTATTATATATATGTGTGTGTGTTACCTTCATAGCAGTGTGATAAGTGAAGCCCGGCAAATTGATAGGAACAGAAAGACAACCATCAGCAAAATCGGAGAACAAGCTAGCCATCTCATTCACATCCGACTCAGTCGACACTCCAAACAGTTGATTAACCATCAGATTAATAGCTACCTGAAAATGGAAAATGGTATGTAAGTTCTACAATTAGACCACTCAGAATGTTCTACATGAGGTGATGTCATAATATCCATTCACATAAAAACATTATATAAATACATTATATACAAGATATGTATATATATGTGTGTGTGTGTAGCTTGCCTTTCTGCAAACATCCTGGAGGAGAATGACTTGATGGTTGTGGAAATTGTTCAAGGTTTGAAGCATAACCAATTGAATATCCTTTAAGAAATGGAAGTTGAGCTTGTCTAAGCGCATCATGTTGGAGGCAATCCCATGAAGTTTTCTTTGTTGGTCTCCATGCACAGTGATCACCCCATTCTTCCCAACCAAGTCTCTGAACGATTTCGGATATTTGGATTGAAATAGTTTCCCTTCGTTTTGCATTACAAATCGGTTAAAGCTTGGATCAGCTGATACAACTGCCCATTCGCCAAACAGACTACATGAGAATATCTTCCCATACCTGTGTATCAACACAACACCCATATCTATCATCATCACTAGTACGACTATGTGTATATAGTATATATTAATGTTGAATTAATTATATAATTATCCTTTGGCTGCACCACACACACACACACACACACACACACACACATATATTCACATACATAACCAACTAACATAACTAATTCAATTTTGAGTCATCAAGAGGTGTCCCATGCATTCACTAATATATAGAACTACATATGTGATCACTTGAAGGTCTTGTTCAATCCTGCTGAAATTAAATGTGATTAATTATGAGTAATTAGTATTCGATCAATTCATTTCTAACTCACTTCACCTGAATTAGCCAAACTTGGATTCGCATTGTAAATTTAGCAAACAAAATAAAGTGGGAAAAATTACAAGAAAAATGGAATTTAATTAAATTGATTTTCGATCCGTGACCTATATCTTTATATATTAAACGATACATCATCAATCAAAATAAATGGTTGTGACAATTAGAACACATACACAATATATATATATATATATATATATATATATATAAGAATGTGTGAATGTACGTACCTTTGAACCTGTTGTTCGACAAAACGAGGGGGATGTGAACTAGCGACAGCACTGTACCAGTTGAAGCTATCACCAATTAACGGCCAACCTCTGCTTCCAGGCGGCAATTTAGACGACTTCTTATTTTTATTATTTTGTAGAAAGTAATTGGCAAACAAAACAACGAACAAAACCGTTGCAATAACAATACCACATATTGAATATATTTCTTTCATCGATCTTCTGGATATATAGAGAGAGAAAGAGATGAGAGAGAGAGGAGAGGAGAGGATAGCCTTCAAGAGAATTGATCATGGAAGGAAGTTGGATAACTTGGATCTGATATAATAATGATTACCTTAGCTTCTACATCAATTAAATAAATAACTAAATTAAAGAGTAATAATAATAAATAAATAAATAAAGTAATATGTTTGGAGAACAAGTTTCGTTGACCCTCAAGCTTAATTCGAATCCCAGTAGACCCACGTCTATAAACACTTTTATATATATGCAAGTTATTCCATAATGTCATACTATTATATATATATGTATAACTAGGCCAAACATATAACTTGTCAGCTTTTCACATTCAAGTTGCATTTGTTTGCAATCAATTTTTTAATATATAAGGTCGGTATGGAGACTCTTTCATTATATACCACATGCATTACATTTTATGCAACAACTCACTGGCACTTTATATATATATATATATATATATGAATGTTAAGGACAGGAACAGCTGGTTGCATTCAAAGTCTCATGCCGTGGTAATGAATTCCGAAAGCATAAAACTAGGCGAGTGAGCTTTAAGTTGTGGAAATATATGATGTATATCTCCACTAAATAAAGTGAGTACAAGTTTGACCTCCTTTTTTTATATGTTTAATTAATTCTGTATATAATTTATTATTTGAGAGAGAGAGAAAGAGAGAGTGTGTGTGTGACTATTTTTTTAAAGCTCGAGGTTTAGACTCGGCCGGGTCTTTTGGTGATGCTAATTTTCTTTCACACTTGCTTCTTTGCCTCTAATAGAGGAGGACTTTAAAGACTAGAAAAAAATGGAAGATAAAATAAACCCAAAAAGAATAGAAATATGGATGGGATATATACGTGTTAATAAAGTGAAGAGTTATTATAAATTAATTTTGACGTAAATATGTTAGTGCAAAAAAAAAAAAAAAAACGGATATATAAAAAATGTGTTAAAAAAACACCCATACAATTAATTGAGCATCCTGGATTGTCAATTTTGATCAAAATTTTTATTAAAATTCTAAAATGTCCTTAATAATCGGTAAATAAGTGTTTTTTAAAAAAATTATATATATTTTGTCTTAAGGACATTTTAAATATTTTAGTTTTCAAATAATGTCCTCATTGCTGAATTTGATAAAATATAATTCTCAGTCATCATCTTGCGTACAAAATTACTCATGTTTATAATAAAAACAAAGAAGGAATGGCAATGATGAATCAGAACCGTGAAGGTGCCTCTGCGAATTGGGGTTAATTATATATGTCTAGTAGTATATAATTGGGTTATGGAGCCACTAAAACAGTCAAAGATAGGGACAATAAGAGAACCCTACTTTTCTGCATATATGGCCCAAGGTCCAAGAAACAAGGCCCTCTTTTTCGGCCGTAAATACTCCATTTATTTTTGTAGGTATGCAAACTCCTTAATTTGTTATGTTCATAAACTACGACCTTATTTGCAAGAACTCAACTCCAGGGTCGAATCGTAAGGAGCCACTTTTAGAAAGAAATAAAATAAAATAAATAGTAATTATTTAGTAACACGGTATGTGTTCCATGATACAATATTACAGTGTTTAAAAACGCATCACACTACCATCAAAATGAAAGTTAAAAATTAAAAAAATCGAAAATGTTGTGAATATATTTAAATAAAGAAATATATAAATAAATATATTGAGAGACCTATCAAGTGTAATATAGCATATATATATATATATATATAACACTAAAACGGTGCAATTCTAGGCAGTGTAATTCTTATATATATGTGTGTGTGTATGGGTGGGTGTGTATTTTGTAGAGATATTCTTTTTAAGTAATAAAACTTTTTGGGTAGGTCTCTCTCTCTGGGTGGGCGTGTATTTTGTAGAGATTCTTTTTAAGTAATAAAACTTTTTGGGTAGGTCGAGAGAGAGAGAGAGAAAACCTCTGCAAAATTTTATTACTTAAAAGTTTTATTACTTAAAAAGAATACCTACCCAAAAAGTTTTATTACTTAAAAAGAATATCTCTACAAAATACACACACACACACACGTATATAAGAATTACACTGCCTAGAATTGCATCGTTTTAGTGTTGCTTGCTTCATGATTTCGACGCCCATCGCCTAATACAGCAAGTTGATGTGTTACATATACATCACTATACCATCGTTGGGCCAATATCAGCCTTCCATGTAACTATCACCGCCTTAGTATCTATATACCTCCAATTTACAATTATGAAGTGGAGCCCACCCACATATTATAACACTCCCCTCTGAAATTCACAATGTTACACTAAGAACATGCCTCATTAAAACCTTGTCAGGAAAACCAATTGGGACAAAACTTCAGCGAAGAAAAAAGAGTACAATATTTTGTGTTTGAAATTAGTATTGCATGGGTTAGAACTGCCTCATTAAACCTTACCAAGAAAATTCAGTGGGACAAAACCTGAGCGAAGGAAAAAAAAGTACAATATACCAATACATTTCTAATCATTACTCCCCCTTATATGTATATTTGTTGCATTACTTCAGCATGGAAAATCTTTGAGTTTTAATATCGTGCATCAATTTCTCAAATGTCGTACCATAGAGCTCAACTACATGCACGTACTCCCGGCTTACTTCATAAATTGCGAGTATCTTGAAGTGATTTTAAAAAGTTTGTAATTTATTGTTTACTCCATTGATCACCTTGATATAGTAGTGTTGTGTGATACCTCTCGATTCTAGAACCACGGGTAATCAAGTCCGAGCATAGCTCCGAGGGATACCAAACAATTAATATGTAAACAAGTAAGAATACAAAATTGAAATAAGAATAAAATAATAAACTGAAAAGAATTCTAAATATAAAAATCCTCGAAAATAATAAATTAATATAATTTAAACTTTCCAATCCGTACAACTCGGGAATCTATTCAGTGAACCCCTACTAATCCCAAATGAACAATAAATTACAGAACCAAAATCCAAAACGGAAACCCTACATAGTCGGAGGAGTGAGTGACTGTATCTGCTCAGCACGATCAAGTTTTTAAGCCTGCAACTGACGAACACCTGAAAAATAAGAGTGAGTCAGGCCCACATGCAAGTTCTATCCTATTACAATCCATACAGAAACCCGATATGCAAATACATCGTAAATAGCTCAGTAATAACTAAAATAGTCCATATAGATATAAATACACATTATAGGACGCTCACTAGCATATAGTGTAGTTCAGCCTGAATAGAAGGTAACAAGTAAATCACATATTACGGTGTACATGTGCACCTAGACCTACCAGGGAACATCAGTTATATCTAGTTACTCATCCTTGATGATATACGCACCCTAACCATGATCCTGAGACTCAAGCTTATATCACGATACCATAAGTATATATATAAATCCTTCCTAATACAGAACAATAAACAAACATCCGATATGTCGTTCAACTGTTTTAGTTGACAAGACATGCATCCATGTATGATTTAACTGTTTTAGTTAATCCATTCCATATGTATGAATAGGTAGGACTTAGCGTTTTGATCTAATCCGTCCCCAATATGCCACTGTCCCATACCAATGCATATAATGCATATGATCCAAAAATGATGCACACTCATTTGAACATCAAATACATCCAGAAACAAACATAATAGAAATCAGATATAGACATGATCATATTATGCATCCATATATGATTATAACCATAGAACCTCCGTTTAAATTACTAGAGTAATGATAAACAATTTAAACTATTCATATCCATATAATTGACAGAACAAAATTTATAACAGTTCATCAATTAACATTGATAGCACGATATAATGATAAGCAGAATTATGAACTGAGCACATTATACTGGAGTTCCAAAAATACTTCCAGACTAAACCATTTAATTCACTAAAACAAAACTAGCAATTAAATCTCTTACCATCCTTAACAGCATGCAAATTCACATACAAATTTCATGATGTCCATTTAACCCTCAATTAGATATCCAGTGCATGATATAATGATACTCAAAAGTATAAATTGAGCACATTATATAAAATCCAAAAAAAATACATTCATACTAGTCCGTTGAATTTGCTAAAACAATAACTAGCAGTTACAACTTCCATACTCCTTGACAGCATACAACTTTGTAATTATTTTTCATGATGTCCATTACCATAGCATAAACCAATATTCCTAGGTCTTTAGTAGGTTATTTACATCAATTAAAAACCCCCAGATTCAATTCCAAAATTTCGTTTTAGCTCCTGCAGTCAGAAAACCCCAAAAATATACCCCTGTAGGGGTTCCAACAAGGGAGCCAGCTCCCCCTTCATGGGAGCCGGCTCTCACACCTTCAGAGCTGGCTTTCTCATCTAGGGAGCCAGCTCCCTCCATTAGGGAGCCCTCAGCTTCTTCTTTTTGTCTTCTTTGCTTCCGGAGAAGTTCAACCCTCTGTTCCAATTTTTTTTTAAAGTTCTTAGGGTTCAATCTAAGTCCCAACAGTCCTAGAAACTCCTAAAATTCTAATATGAATTGATTGACAAAAAGTCAAAACATAACCAAAATAGTTTGTGCAAAAAAATGATTTCAGTTAATTAATCACAAAGACAATTTACAATTTAGTATAACATACATCAAACATCCGTTTTAAAGTTTGAATTAATTCCTGGAGACTATATAGCATGCACAGAACACAGGTTTAAAGGAAGGAGTTAGGATAAAACTTGCCTTCAGTTTCAGTTTTGAAACCTTAAACCACCGTCTTTGAATTCCGACGAATCCCAAGACTGTTCTCCACCTCTATTCACTGTTCTCCTCCTCTGTTGCCTCTTGGTTCCACCCACGAGCAACTCCCTTTCTTTATTCCTTAAGCCTATCTGCTTCCTCTCAAGTTTCTCTCTCTTTTCTCCCAAATCCCTCTCTGTTTCTCTTTGCCTCACAATACGTGAATAGGGTTCTAAAACCCTTGGCAGACACATAACTTATGTATATATAGGCTTCTATAAATACTAACCCTAATTCCAACCTAACTATAAATCGGTTACTTCATCCGTAAAAACCAAAATTAAAGACCTTTAATTTAACACCGA